AGGATGTCCGTTAACTGCTCTGTCATGCTCTGTTAATGCAAAAACTTGTCGATTTCGGTTTGAACTCTGCCAATTCAACATCCGACTGATTCTCAGCAGCTGGAACTGGTTCGTAGTTTTATTCAAATACCGTTAATACAACTCTGGGGGCAATTCTACCGCAAATATACCTCTTCATTTCATTCAGATAGCAACTTTCCAGACAACATATATATATGTATATATATTTACTTTCTTTCTTTATTTAATTAAAACATAAAATAACACAAATTATTTCAGCAGCACTAAGGAAAGAATTCATTCCACCTATTTTATTATTGAATCTATCTTAATGAAGAATGCCAAATATATATAATAAGTATATATAGCTAAAATCGGTTTAAGTTGCTTCAAGATAAGCTTTAGATGATGTCTTATTTCGTAAAATGTGTCATATCCCAAACAATCTTCAACTATACAGATATTCTGACGGTCATTCGAGTTGATTATTTAATGAGCTATTTGCGAAATTGTAAAGCATTTCATGAGATGGCAGTAGGTGCTGTCGCCTGAAAAGGAATACAAATAACAAATTGGCAAAAAGAAAAGTTGTACAATTTTCATATACAAACAGACAGAGTAGATCTTCTGTATACAAGCAACCCATTTACACAAATTCTCCAAACTTTGGGATTGAATTTGTATAAAGACAATCTTTCATCTTTCATTCCACACAAAATGACAAAGGGTAACTCCCTTAGTCAGGAGTGCCGGGAATATGTTGGTAAAACAGGGGATTAAAGTCAATATTTATCGATTCTGATGAAATGAGGTAAGATATCCATCATTTGAAATGAACTTGATCAGAGCATGATACTCAAGAAACTATTTAAAGTCGGCTGACTTTATACGAAAGTTAAAAAGCGTTTCAACTTCCGCATAGTACTAAGCAACACAATTATCGTAAACTGACTATAGTTGAGCTTTGTTCACAAATTGCCACAGATTCCTGATATAACAATGCAAATGCGTTTCAGGGACTTGTTCTTTCACTAATTGATGGCTATTTACTAAAGCATTTAAATAGGTAGCGCCCATTTTATTACTATATAAGTAGTACTCGTGTATTTGATTAGTTTGTCGGTCTGCCAAGGATCGCTAGCGGCAGTTTTATGTTTTTTTATGTTCCCATTATTATTGTTATTATTTGGAGAACTCCAAAGCTTTGACCGCTCAAATTCTGTTTTTTATGCAGCTTTAGCATCTACAATAAGTACAACAACAATAACAAGAACAGCCGCAAAAGAGGCCGATGCGAAGACGGAGACGGAGACGCAGACTGAGACCCAGACCAAACTGAGACGGAGACCGAGACCGAGAACGAGACCGCGACCGAGATTGCGAGCGAACCCGCATAATAATGGCCATACAAGTGTCTGCTTTCTGGGAACACTTCTGGGTCGTGGCGGAAGTCGAAAGTGTGAAATTCTGCGAAGCGGCTGCGTCATTGATTAGTTTTATGAATGAGGCCCCTCGGACTTGGATCAACATAGCAAATGTGCTGCGTAGAGAGATATGAATCGCAGCTAGGCTAACCCAAAACTTGTCGCGCTATTGAAGTAAGTGTTCGGGCCATAAATCAGCCGAGCCGGCGATCGTGTCTTGCCATGTTGCTACATGACACGCATTGCTCCCACTACCCCAGCCCCAGCCCCAGCCCCAATCCCAACCCCAGCCCCGCACCACAACACCCAATCCCAATCCCAATCCCTACTCCTACCTGTTACCGATGGTCGTTTTCGATTTGCAGTTGTCAAAAATTCGCACATTTTTTATACGGACATGGTACTCACTCACTCACCTGCCCCTCCCTCCCGCCCGGCCCTCGCCCCATGACGCCTTTGTCATGTAGCCGGCAATTAAAATTGGTTCCCTTCTTCAGTTCAGCCACTCAACTGGGCGTCGTCCGTCGTCCGTCGTCTGTCTTCCAATTTGCCGGGCACAGCTGTTAAATAATTTATGAAGTGCGTAGGGCTTCCGGTGCGCATTTCAAGCAGCGCCTGTCGACTTGGATGTACACATGTATTTATACCATATAGTACAAACATATTTATATACAAACATACATACATTCATGCTTAAATATATACGTACATATATTGGGGCATCGCCTCACGCACTTTTTGTGCGCAGCCCCGGAAAATATTTGTCCACGCAATTTTTGCTCATTAAACTTTTTGGGCACATTTTGCGAGCTGCATGCAAATGCCGCTGATTAACTTTGCCAATCAACGGAGAGCCTTCCAGGTGAGAAGAGTTAAGGTGAGGGTAGACCGTGGTAGGTGCCCGGGGCAGACCTTGGCGCCAGCTTTGCTAGGCGGCTGCGCTGAAGCAGACTTCAATGGCAGCCCATAAATCAACAGGTTAAGCCAAAGCCACACGCGCCATGGCGTGGAACTGTAACCAAAACTGAAACCGAACCCAAAACCAAAACTGAAACTGAACCTGAAACTGAACCGAAACCAAGTAATATCCACTAGAGCTGGAGACACGTTCTGGCCCTAACTGGGGGCAGCTGGCTTTTAGCATTTTAAGCATTTTTAGCATTTACCCGCACATCTTGGGCCAAGTGTGTTCGCTCAAGCACAGCAACAACATATCCCGCCACGGCCGCTCGTTCGCGGCTCGCCCTCGTAATGCAAGTGTTAAGTCTGGGCACGGTCTGGAGACGGCCAGCAGAGCCCAAAGCTAAGCCGGAGCCCTGGCCAAAGCCTGAACCTAAGCCTGAACTCAAGCCCAAACACAAAAGCGCAACCTGATTAATTATGAATTGGAATGGAGTGTCTGCACTTGGACTGCACTTTGCTGCACTTGCAACTGCGCGCGCGGCACTTTTCATATTTTTACGGTTGCGGAGTTCGCGGCGCGACTGCAAATTGTCTAGGGGCGCATTCGAGCAACAACTTTTGTCACGCTATAGGGCCAGATGGGCGCACAGGGGCGCAATTGCAGGTGAATGTTGTTGAATGCAACAGGTGCGTATCCAGCCTTCAATTACTTTATTCCAAAGGTAAGCTTCGCAACTCCAATACGTATATTAATATTAGTTTTTATCATAATCAGGTCCGACTAAAGAACCAATTTATTTTTATTTATATTTTTTTTGCAGAATCTGTTCTCTTCATCGTAATGCAAACTAATACAAACACCAAGTATATATAATAATTAAAAAGGTATTGAACTCGTAATAATAAAAAATAACTTTGAAAATTTCCCTTTGTCATACCAAAGCCTTAATTCCAATCAATTGTTCGTATGGCAATTATTAAATATAGTACTCCAATGAAGATATACTAGGTTATAATATTGAAAAAAAATAAAAGTATTCCCTTTTCGATTGGTTTCTATTATATATTCTTGTCCACAATGTATGTACTTTATGGGATCGAAGGTGTCTCATTCGTCTTCTTCTTCCCTAGAACACAATTTTTATAGATATGGCCCCTCATTTAGTATCAGCTGCTTAGCTCTGACGTCTTGGACTGTGCTCGGTTAGCACAAAGAGCTGTTTAGGGCCCCGGAATAACTGCAGACCGCTACTGGAAGAGCGTTTCAAGACGAGCAAAAAGACTTTATTTACTTGTGAAGACGCCAGCCACTGGGTCTGGGGCCGGGCATGGGGCAAGTCCTGGAGTTGGACATGCACAATGCTCAATGCTCAATGCTCAGCGGCACGTCTCAGTGTCTTTATCATATAAACGGTGCGATTTAAATTAATAATTAAGCGGGGCTTGTTCTGGGCTGGTCTGGCCTCGGCTGGTCTGGCCTGGTCTGGTCTGGTGTGTTTGCGTTTGAGTTTGAGTTTTGGGTTCGCGTTATTGGTGAGGGTATCTGCCAGCTGTTCGTCTTCGACTCCGTGTCGGTTGCAGGTGGATGCGGATTAAGCTGCCACAAAGCGCAATAAATCAACGGAGACATTGGCCGGCACTGAATGCAGCCAAATGCGAAGCCTTCCCCCTGACAGAGGAAACGAAGTTCGTGTCATCATTGATATGCCATATAAGATTCTGCCTGATTCTCATTACCGATACTGACAACTAGCGCGCCTCGCAGCTCTAAAAGCGCGGCAGTTACTGAGCCTAAAAGATAAGGCGTATATCATTAAATTATGACTGACATGAATTTACATAGATGACTATTAGAAATACCCGGGGGATTCATAGAAATCTACTTATGTAATCCATTTCCATTGCTTCAATTTTAAATAATTTCTAAAAGGAATCGATCGATTACAAAATCATCATTGTTTCATTACAAATTGTCTATTATAAGACAAAATCTGAATTTAAAAGAAAACGAAATAACTCTACATTTTTTATTGATTTTACCCATTGAACACGGGGTACAAAACGTGTGTCACATGTTGGGGAACTCATAGTCGATTTATTAATGAATTTATATAAACGTCTGTCGGTATGAATAAACTAGGGGGTCAAGAATTGGGTCTGGGTCTATTATGCCGCTTACTGAAAAATAAATTCGTTTTACTAAAAATTGAACTTATATCATATTTTATAAGTTTGTCAATCAACAAATGATACAACTTCTTGGTTCGGCTCGCGAACTGCTGCATTGGATTGCCATAAGCTTAGATGAATAATTTTCATTAGTTTACATATATAAACAAATCAAACGTATATAGAATGGAATATCAATAAGAAAACTTTTTAATTTTTAAAAAATATTTCTACTAGCTTTCAGTCTCGGCTCATAGCACCACAATAATTCGTCATCCGGGCTAAAGAACGAATATGCTTCGCATTGGGTATCCATAAGTCGATCACTCACGGCCAGTCAACATGTACTTGCGGGTATACGCACATATTTTTCATTAGATGCGGCATGGAATAGATAGGTCTGTGGAATACAGAATACAAAAAAAGGAATTTGGATTTAGTTAAAAGAGATGAACAATGTGTGATTGGGGGCCAATAGAAACGAAGCGTCGCCAAAGCTGTCACAACAGTCAAACATGTGGCTGAAACGTTTTCAATAACACAAAATTTGCCGTGCTCGTTCACCGAACAGTCCAAGTACACAAAAAAAAAAACAAACTGCAGAGGAGACAGAAGTGAGAGTGCCAGAGGAATTAAGGAACTTCGAGAAACAGAACCAACTGCCGCCAAAAGCTGAAGATCAGAGGTGCAGTCGGCAATCGCCAGTGGCCAGTCTTCAGTCGCCAGTGCATCATCATAATCGAAGGAAGAATGCAGCATCTGCCGCACTGAGAGGCACATCACATCAGCAGAGGCAATCGAGAGGTGCAACAGCAGTGGGATCTGGGATCTGGGATCTGGGATAGGGACGTGGATCGGAATAATCTCGGCTTTGGCTGGACAAGAAGATGCTATTCATGGATGCGCTGTTCAACAGTTTGCTGGTGGTTAGCTCCGGCTATGCGATGTACACGCTGCAGCCAACGCAAACGCCCTACGGATATGCGGCGGCGGCTGTGAGTCTGGTTCATGGGCTGCTGGGGGTGGTGCGGGCGGCGAACAATGATGACGATGAGTGCAATCGGCTGCGCCAGATAACGTCCGGGGTTATGGAGCTGGTGCCGCTGCCATTGACCAACATTGAGCTGTATCTGAAATCGTCGAGTCCGCATTTGGCCATGGCACATGGCTGCTTTTTGGTGCCGCTGGCCTTCGATGTGGTGTCCAAATGGCGTGATATCGAGGATAATTCAACCGTTACGCTCAAGGATCTGACGCTGCTCGGCAATGTGGTGTCGCTGCTCTTCCTGGGTGTCAACCAGTCAAGCAACGTCTACGGCGGAATGGCGGCAATTGCGTTCGCAGCACGTTACGGCTCTGTCATGTTCGACTACTACTGGGAGGGTCTGGGTGTCCACTTCAATCTGCTGGCCAACTCCGCCTTCATCGTGCTAATGGCCATGACTTTGACGACCAAATCCTAAACAGCTAGCCAGACAGAACGCCCCCAGCCCAACACATCTGAGCACATTTCGACAGCATCTTTAATCTTTTGTTTCGGCGGCTCAAGGCTAACGCGTGCGGTTCATTGGCTCAACAATGGCTCAACCGGCGGCTCAATAAACTTGCAATTAATGTTGGCAAATTAAAATGCAAAAATAAACATTAATTGTTTTGTCAAAAATTAAGTGTTTTGCGTGCGTTCGTTACTTCGGGGACACACCACAGAGGCAGCCGACAAAGCGGCAACAATTTAAGGCAAATTTACAGCAACGATGAGCCATTGAGCAGGAATAACCGATGCCCGGACACAGGACCGGTTCTGAGCCACATCGCTTTAAATACAAACAGCCGGACAAACATGGCCCAAACGACTTGCCAGCTCTGATCAAGAATATATATACATATATATATGCATATGTTTTGTACATGAAGTCAGGGTCCTGTTCTTCTGTCTGTTGCATACAATTGTACTGTATCCTTCTTGGTGTGAAAGAGACAACGAAACGAACGGGAGTGCAGAGTCAATAGATACCCTGTATGTCCGGTCTAGCCAAGTTCATACAAGTTTGCGTCTTTGATTCCCTTGTATGCAGTTATGGTAACGTCTAGTCAACGAGTTGACGACGAGCTGGCAATCGATAAGTGCTCATTTAACTGTCAGTCAAAAATGGTTTATTGCCCACCAACTGTGATTGCTGCTGCCAAAAGTGTACGGTATAGGCTCTTATCAAATCCCAAAGTTAAACTTTGGCTTCAACATTTTAACAGAAAGATGAGCAGCAATTTGACAGGAAACAGGAAATATGGGCCATGCCAATGATTGATTGATTAATTGATTGACTGACAATTCAATTTACTGACGAAACATTTATGTAAAACCCTTTTTCTGTTCGTCGGCCTTAAAATGTCTGTGAAAATGCTGTGAACTGTTTAAACTGGAAGAACATCTTTTGGCATTGGGCAGTGTCAAATTTACAACAGGCCCAGGCTGTTCTATGTATTTGTATTTTGCGATCGCCAGAGTCAAGTGTATTATGTTCACTATCCAAATGGTACCTAAATTGTTTATATAATACGCACCAACTGCAGACATAAGGGATCCATCCTAATAGACACCGCTTTTCGACGCATTCACCCAAAATTTCGTCTCCCATGGTACCTATTAATTGCAAATCTATTATAAATAAAATTGTTAACATCCAGCCTCTTACCGCTGTTCTTTACAGCCTCATTATCCCATTTTTTTTTTGGCCCAATCCACAAACAAACTGTTCACACCAATTTTCCTTCATATAAATTGTGTCAAGTGGGCAAAAGGAACAAATTCTTTTTATTTTGCTAGAAACATTCAATTTATAATTAAAATTATATTATTAAAAATACAGATTATTCCTATTGTTATTATTATAATATTTTCATTCACAATTAATAACAAATTACCCTCCCTTACCCCTATTAGACTTTGTCCTTAACTCCTTTATTGTAAATATTCCATCATTGTAAACACCCCAAAAGCTACAAAAGCTATTTCGTTTGGAATCAGGAATCAGGAGGTACAATAAAACAAGTGGAGTTTCAAGAAAGTGTGGATTCGGGATTAATTAGAAGTAGGAGCCCTCTTACTTTATGTATAACCGTAACCATTCGAACCTACAGCTAAGGCGGGGAGCTATTTTATGAGTATTCCAGACAGAGCTTATGTAAATACTCATTTCGATATCTCGAGTTTATATATATTTATACATTTATATAGTTTTTATATGTATTTTATAACTTCATTATACCCTTTTGATTCATTATAAATAGATGCAAGGCTGCAGAATGCAATCCTTGTAACATGTGTATGTTATTTGATTGCATATTACAGAGTATTTCCTATAAAAAAAGTATACAATTTTAATTTAAATCAACTCTTTCTTGTAAATCATTTTTGAATAGAGGGTTAATGATAACGTATTTGCCCTGTGTAAAAAAGTTGGCAGCCCTTAACGCACGCGCACTCACACATGCTACACACACACACACACACGCACACATGCGCAGTGCACTGCTTGCATTGATTGGGCACGCGAGTTTCGTTGCCTGCTTTTGGGCGCCGGCAGCGTCAACATTGTGAATTAACAGGAACACATTGAACTAATGAAACGGCGCCATAAAAAACGAAAACAAATGTGCGGAAAGGAGCGGCGGCGAAAAGCGCACGGCAATAATTTATGCATTTTAATTAATTGGCAGATCAGTATGTGTGCATTTTAGGGACGTTTTTATGATGTGCTCACGTTGCGACACAGGTCCTCAGATACGGCTCCAATTCGACTGCAGTCCTCACCGCAGCCAGCCACCAATCATGTCGTCGGCGCGGCAATATGTTCGCCTTTGCATACGCCGGCTGCGGCGTTCGCACAACAAACAAATCCATTTTGTAGTTAAGAGGCCATCGGTAAGTTGTGTGACTCCAAGCCCTACTGTAGCGGCATACGATGCGACTGCGCTGCGACAGAGCAGAGCAGCAGCAGCGGCGACAACGTTAACGGCAGAGAAAATATGGCATCGGAAAAGATAACAAAAACATAAAGCTAGCGAAAGAAGTAATCGCAAAAGCATTTCAAAAATGCACAACAAAGAAGGTAAAACAACAAAAAACGAAATCAACAACTGGCGAGAGAAAGAAAAAACCCACAGACGTACATATTCAAGAAACGAAAACAAAATAAAAGGGAACATACAGAAGAGAACAACAAAAAGCGAACGCGCGCAAACTGCACGCCAATGCGCCGGCGCAGACGTTGTTGCTCGAGTCAATGTTAATGCTGTGTGTTTGTGTGTGTGTGTGTGTGTGTGTATGTATGTACCTTGTGCAAGTTCAAAAACCTGCGAAGTCTTTATTGTGAGTCAATCGCCGTTTGCCGGTGCCCCGGCATTGGTAGCCGCCGACAGACTGAGCTTCAGTCGCAGTCGGTTAAAAATGCCGGCCGGCATTGGCGCTGTTTGCGTGTTTTATTAAAAACAAGTAAGTACAGCTATTTTGCAAGCCGAAGATTGAATACCCTTGTGGACGTTTAGTTTGCTGCTTTGAAGATATGTCCAGGAAATAGATAGGTTCGTTACTTTTAAGTTTGGTTAAGATATCTTGATAAGCAGAAAATGCAGCAACGATAAAACGCATTTTCGACCGATTCTTCCAATAAAGCTCAATGATATTTTGCCCGATGCTGATAAGATATTGCTCATATATAAGGATCCTTAAGATATTAAGAAAACACTATATATCAAAAACATTGTGTTACACAAGAACTGACCTGCAATAGAAAGACTGACCATACAAAGTTTCGAGACGATAGGGAGCCTAGTATTTTTGCATAGACAGACGAATATGGCTTTATCGACTAGGCCGCGGCTACAGATCAAGTTTATTTATATATATTATGGGGCAGGAGATGTCTTCTTGTTGGCGTTACAAATTTCATAGCAAAATTAAAATACTCACTACAAGAGTAAATACAAATAAAAGCAAAAGAAAAAAAAAAACAGCAACAGCGACAAGCAAACGCAGAAGAGAAACAATGAGAAGTAGATGGCGAGACGAAAACAGAGAAGCGGACAGCGGTGACGCGTCGAGCATTTGCACATGCATGCAAAGTGGACCGATGGATGACGGCAGACCGCGTGAACGTCAGACGGACGGACGCAAACACACTGCAAAGCGCATTGGCATGAATACGGCTAATAAATGCGAAGGCGAAGATTGAATACCCTATGAACAATGAAATAACTATGAAAAGTTGCTTAGGTGTTAAGTTTATGCATAGTATGCATATATACACGTTCTTATTTATTTACATATGTTATCTGTACTGTACATATATGCAGCTAGTCATACATACCTATTTACGTATATCTGCATATGGGTCACCAGCTTAACGACAAGGTAAAATACCTGCTCTGAGGGCTGGCGTGCAAAAAAAGGAAACTTTCGCAGTCGTAGAACGCCGACGCAACCAACAACGCAGCGTAGGAACACATTAATACATGTACATATGCATGCATGTAAGCCTGTTGAGTCTGTGCATGCGCATGTATGTGTGTATGTGTGTGAGTACGTTTCTGCGCGCCATTCAGAAAGCTTCGCGATTGGCATTGATTTTTGCAGCGCCAGGCGATGCTGTTGCCTGCGCCGCAATGTTTGCTGCGGTTTGTTGTTGTACGTGATTTGTTTACGAATCTTAACAAAATACTTGTGTACACAAATGCCTTAAATTACCGCGAAAGGCGTTATTCGTTTAAATATTTTGTAAGCATAAATACAGAGGAGGAAATCACAGTTTTGCAATTGTTGTTCTTGTTGTTGCTGTTGTTGTTGCTGCTGTTTTTGTTACCGATCATACTTTTCATTCTTCCTCTTGCTATTGCAAGCCCCAAATATCAATAATGGCGCATTGAACATGGCGATCAATGCAGCCACAACACTGTCAATAACACGTTTTTTTTATATGCATATGCATACATACTATGTACATATGTATGTATCTGTCTGCATACATGTGTATATGTACATTTCGAAAACTACAGTCGAACTTCATTAAGGCGATCCAAAATATTGACGCGTGATCTTAGGGGTAATTTTATCTTCTAAGATTTTTAAGCAAGTCAAAGCCCGAAAAATATATTTTAAAAATTTGTTTAACCATATTTGGTTAGCTGTAGGCCAAGCCTGGCCAGGTCTCTTGAAAGTGAAAAAAACTTCAAGATAAATTCAAAATCAGTTTATTAAACTTATCGACTGTATTAATTTGATGAAGAGTATTAACGAAAAATGTGAATTATACGCGCCAGAATTTCTTGTTCAAATAATTAATAAATATAAAGAGACAAGCGAATACGAAAGACAATGATGAGTTCAAAGATTTAAACGTGACAGAGATACATTCTCTTTTTATTTAAATAATAAATCATATCCGTTCCAGCCGCAATATAAATATTAAAGTTCAAACTAATATAATATAAATAATAATATAATTAATGTAATTAATATACAAATGAGAATTGTTTTATGTGGCAAATAATGAGTCGAGCTAGGCATGTTCCACTGTAACTGCAAATGTGCATACAGCTGTGTGTTTCGTAGCCTGAGTCACATTCATATATATGTATGGA